CTCGCTGCCCGCTCGGTTCGCCCGCAGCTCGGCTTCTCTCGCAGGAACTGCCGTACGACTTCGAGGAGAGCCACGCTGGTGCAGAGTTCATCCGGGGTCGGGACTCTATTTCATTATTCTATCCGGGAGTGACACACCGAGATCGGTGAGGGCGAGGGGAAGAGTGCGCGCCTCCGCGCGACCCTTCGGGAGATTGAGAACCGTTAAGTCAATGAGATAAGTTTACGCTACCATATTGATTCGGCGTCGCAGCTTACCCTCTCCTCCTCGTTCCTCGTGCGGGGATGATTTTATTGCGCTCGCCGTGTACCGGAAACGAAACAGAGTTTATTCATGAATCTACAAGCTACTTTTTTTGCACACGTCAGCTGAAATCTTTCGGGTAGATATAATGAAACGTGTGGTCGAATGGAGGAGGAGCGAACGATCTACAAGGCGTAAAACTATGCTGACATAATAGAGAAGTTAGAAATATATGCGATGCTTCTTTTGCATCTTGATTTATTAAATTTTTATTTATTACATTTGTTAAGTTATATCTCAAATTTTTTTTTGTTTTATTGCTTATTTCAGTGATATACAACTGTATATCGCGGTTTGATATTTTTTTGAGAGATCAGCTCGGCTCAGTTTCATCCAAATTCTTATTCCATTTTACACATACAATTATCTCTTCTTTTTCCGATTTCTTCTCGTTATTTTTTCTCTAAATCTCGCTATTTTGTTTCTCTAAATTTCTTTCTCTCTTCTATACTTCCTGTCTCGCTGTTTTCCCCTAGGTCTTTGCCCTCTGCCACTCTCACTGCGATTATCCTCCTCGACTTCGCTCCCTTTGCGCCCTGCAACGTTTCAGTCGTTTCGGGGCGGCATAATCAGCCCTTGTCTGAAGGGTGTCACGGTAGTTAACAGACACACTGGAGTTTACGATGGAGCGACGGCGTCGTAAATTCCTCGTGCATTGTTTGGGAATTTGCGAGCGCTAATCGGTCCTCGTCACATCAGCGAAAGGCGCGCCGACGTCGTCGTTGCCGCGTCAACGACATCGTCGCCGTCGCATCGTTGTCGCTCTTCGCTGCAAGATTGACATCAATGTCGACGACGTTCTCGTCCGTCATCGATGGATATTCGCGGAATTTCACGCTGGCGCCCGGGCAAATTTCTCAAATTCGTGGGTCTTGATCGTCGCGCTGCGACATTTATCGGATCGCTCGCGGGGAAATGGATGTCGATGTGGGCGTCGAACTCGTGCCGATAGCCCATGCCGGCGATTCATTTTTGAAATATCGGAGGAATATTATCAGATTACTCCTCGCGTAGCGTTTAAGAGGATCTGACATTTTGAAAGCAGCCTTTGTATATCCTGCCTGACGTTCGTATTTTCACAAATTATATAGTCTGGCATATTGTAATTCTGCACCTCCGATGTATTTCATTTATAATCGATATATTTATTTATACATTTATCATCGCGAGACGATTATCACCGGGCTATAAAGCACGGGGATTTAAACGCGACGCTTGCGTTACACCGAGGCCGGTTTTCGAAGAGCGCGTCGATCGATTTAATCGCGCGACAAAATACGTTTAACGCGTTATCAAATAATCAGATCTCGTGGAACAATGGTCGGCCGGATTAACCGCGTATATTATTCGCGGTTTCCACGACGGGCATGTGAACCCCTTCGGGCGTGAGCCCGAGATAAATAATCGCTCTCCGTTTCGTAAAGTTTCACGAGTGCTCGCGATACATGCGAATACTCCGGGTACTTATGGCCGTATTTAATTTAGTGTATGAATTTTATGCGCGCCAAACGCCCCGTGTTGCACGCGCGTTCGCTTATAAATCAACCCGGCCGACATTCTCTATCGCGTGTAACGTGCACACGCAGGAGTTGCCGCGCGCAGCCTCTCTTCAACCTTTTCTATCTACCCTCCGGTGACGCGATGTGCAAACTCCATTATAGGAATTTTCCCTCCGTTACGCGAAGGCTGCAGCAAATATTTTACGATCGATCGATCGGCTAAAGGGAGAGAAACGGCTCTCTCGCCGGCGCGGCCGACGCCGACGTTCGCCCTCCGTAGGGCGACCGAGGCAAATCGAAGCGGATGCCGCTTGCCTGCTCGCGTTACGATAGGTCAGCGTTGAAATTCAAAGCGGGCCTTCAAAGAACCCATTAGCCGGCACAAAGTGACATAAATCGCGCTTAATGCGGTATGACCGCGCGTTTAATGGCCAACCAAGATTATCACGGTAGCACTTGAGGATAAGCTGCACTTAAAAATGCGCCGCTAATTTTATACCGCCGTCACCTTCGAGCGACGCTCACTTTCCGATTGCGAACCTTCTATTATCTTTCTATTGAGGAATACATCGGATTTCGTGTATTTTACTCGCGTTTCGCGTTTTATTTGTTATGAAAATGTATCGCTAACTGTGCCCTTTATTTTTTATGATTTATATAATAGTACAAATTTCCTTCGAAACAGAAGAGCGTGCCGAGGAGAGAAAAGCTGCATCACTGACGGAGTCGAGATTAATAGCGTTTCTCGTTCGGTTTACACTGACGTGAATTTATGATGCCACTAATGCAGTTACCTCGCCTTAAAGTAATGATTTTTTAAACCAAGAGCGACCGTTTCTTGGCACCGTGGCGAGGATTGGCATGAAAAAACTGGGACGGTGCATTACACGTAATTCGCAAAATGTAAATTACAAAACCCCATTAGTAAGCGGCTTATTTATTTTACGTTAAGTGCAAAATTATCTAGCACGACAATTTTCCAAATATTCCAAATTAATTTTGCATCTCCACAGACTCCACAAATTTCGACCCTAAATTTCATAATTTTCTCGATTTTGTGACTTGCTCGATAATTATCGTGCTTCATTGTACAGAGTTCGATCATAATCAATCTGTAAAATAGTAATAATATTATAGAACAATTTTGAGGCTCTAAGCGATCTGTTAAAACGCTTATCGACAAATCCGCTGTTGTTTCTGCTTAATTCAAGCAGATTTAATCGTTTAAAGCCCTTAGAAACTTGGTGACAAAGGTGTATTGTCCTGATTCAGTACAGCACTTTGAGTTCACGTGCTCCATCATGTAATAATAACAACATATCTTTTAGATTAAACGAGATATAAAGCTATGATGTTTAAACGCAGCTAATATCGGAAATAATAATAATTTATTTAAAATCTGGTAAAAACCTCAATAAGCGAGGGCAGAAGCAAAGGAGCTAAAAGAAACGCCGATTTTCACCGATGTCGTAAAATTTATATCAAACAGCGTGATGGTATAAAGTCAACCGAAGGGGAGACTTTCGGGAAACTTTAGAGAGGGACACGTTAGGGAAATTGACGGGCGACAAACCGTCAATTGGCCGTTACGTGGCCGTACCCTTCTTGTCTCGTCTGAGCAGAGAGCCGCGGAATATCAGTGAAATTGCCGCTATCTCCGCCACACGGAGCGGAGCGGAGCGGCGCCTCATATTCGACGAGTTTCTCCTCCGGCCTGGGCGCGCTTTATGCTATTGCGGAAACGAGGAGGAAAAGGTAAGAAGCGGGTAGAAGGATAAGTTATTGCTCGTCGAGGTATGCGGCTACGTATTTCCTTATACTTCCGCCTCGCGCCAGCATCTTCCTCCTCATTCCGGCGTCTATTGTCGGCCGGATTACCCGCTGAAGGGTGTTCATGAACGCCGGCGGTATTGCATCGTCCGTCTGGATTTAAATCCCATCCATTTGCGGCCGGCAAATCTTGTATAATCGCAGCCGGCAAAGCGTATCGCTCGACCTGACGCTTCATTCGCATGAGCGGCGTCTCCTCCGCGCGTATACCTTCCTTCTCGTACAATTGCCAACTCGTAGATAATGGGCTACACGGGGTGTCTCGAAACTGCCAGGAATCATGAGTCTTTTTAGCATTCTGTTTTTAGCCGAATCTCGATAGAGCGAACATTAGCCTCTCTTCTAGTTTCTTAACATTGAACTATGTATAAATATATATTTATAATCTTTATATCGAAGCTTTGTGAAAATTGACAGTCGATAATTGAAAACAACTATTGTTGTCTTGGTATTTTTATTCGGAAAAATATCGGTTTTGAAAATTGTCAGTGAAATTGTCTTTCTAAATTATCACCCACGAGTTTTGGATCACCCTGTATACCTTGTCAGGTATATCGGCATTGTGTGCAAGTAGATCAGGATTAATGAAACTTTCCTCCGGGATGCATATCTTTGCTCGCGGAAATGATGATTCCACGAATGTATTAGATTACTCAACCGTTATATATACAGTTGCGTATTTCTCGCGGATTCGGCAGCGTTGTTCTCCGTCCTTATGACATAAAGCGAAATGGTCGCAGACGCGCGGTACTTTAAAGTAAAGGGTCAATTCCGCGCGTAACTCCCGCGTTCCTGACATTCCTCGCAGTCTGGCACCGTCGAGCGTGAAATATTTTCTGCTCGAAGAATACGGAAGAAGCGTTCGACGGAGAGTGTCTACGCAATCGACTTGTGTCTCCTCTGCCTATTTCATCATATCTCCCGCTTTCTCTCCATTTCCTCATTATTTCCCGTTACTTACCTGACGGAATCACTCGCGGAGCGTCTCGCGAGTCCAACTCGTCTCCGCGTAAAATTTTCGTCCTCGACTTCATCTATTTCACGCAAGCGAGAAATAATGATCGACCGGCTTTTTTACGCGATGCATGTCCACTCTCGATTTCGAAAGCGTGACACTTGGTGTGGAACGAAGGGAGACGGAAAGGCGGTGGGAGACGTGGGAGAATGGGAAGAAGAGAGATGAATAAAGCGGAGCGCGGAGGAGGATTCCGGGAGCTGTGCACACAGAAATAGAGGAAGCGTGGGGGAACGGAAGGAACAAGACGCTCTATCTGTTGCACGTTGACCGGGGGGATCATCGGCCCCCCCCCGGCCCGACAAGCGACTCACAAAGGGACAACTTTGCGCGAGATGATCTTGTTTACGTACCGGGTATCGATTTACCGAGATCGAGGTACTCCCGCACGGACGGGCTCAGGAATCCGGGCGGCACGGCCGGCGCCTCGTTGGTCGGATTGTTCCTCTCATCCACGGGATCATCGTAGTAATAGTCGTCCTCGTCGGGATCGAGGGGCTTCGCCCGCTTCGACACTTTGCTGGCCCGACCGCCACGCGCGCCGCCTGTAAAAGCAATTTTTAGCTGCAAAATACATCTAATATGACATATGAGTGACAAGCGTGAAATTTGAATAAATTGAAGCTAGAACGTGGAGTTAAGCAAATGTTATCTCTTAACACACATCACGCGTTAAATTTCTCACGATTTATATCTGTAATAAAGTTCGTGGAAAAAGCTCCAAATTTATACAGATCTGTCTTGCTTGTGGTCAAGGAGGATTTAATAGTCCAGATTTTCTCGATATTTAAACATTCGAGTGTCTTAACCCTTAAATGCCACACCTTTCAAGAATCTCGTAAATGACACATGGGGTCTGAAAGACCCCAGCATGAAAAATGTCTCCTTACTCATTGATTTTTTGATATTTAGTTATGAAAATTATTTTTAATGTTGTTCAAGGCTTAGAAAAGAGAATAAAATGCTTATATTGTTAAAATTTCAATTTCAACATAGTATAAAAAATTAAGTAAACTTAGTACTGCTAAGTGTACAAACGGGTAGGTCAATCACTCGACTATCATCAATGGGAGCATGAGCTCCATTTTTGGGGGGAACATTTGAAAATATATCATTGTAAAGGGTCTGGGGTCCGCTGGACCCCGGGTGGTATTTAAGGGTTAATTTGCGGAAGTTCGAGTCCATCGGAAGATCTATCGCACCTCGAGATTAATGGCTCTGTTATCCTTTTAATTGCATTGTCCACGCGATTTTATCTTCCTATTAATTCGCATGATAAAAATGCTCCGCTCTGTTTCTACTATTATTTCCTTCTTGACGAGTCCAGGTCTCTCCGCGAGGAGAGAAACAAAAGTTTCTCGGAGACCGGGAAAGAGAGGCGAAGGAAACGCCGTCGCCTGGGAACCTCCGGGGGTGTTGGTCATTTGAGCAATCTGAAATTTAAAACATTTGAAAATCGCGGCCGACCGTCGCGACGTAGCTCCCGAAGGTAAACAAATTTTTACAATCTTTTTAATTCATGCGGGGGAATGTTTAATCGATGTTGTTCATCGCCGCTGTTTTTCCTCCGGGAAAAACGCGGGCGCCTAATGCCTTCCCTCCTTACCTTCCCCCCGATGCAGATGCACAGTGGTATTTGCGTTCCAGATGCGCTACGTTCGAACGTAGGATTCTTCCTATTGTACGTTCTCGCGCTGAATATTAATACGCGGGTGGTAATTTTCGCGAAACCTGCGCCGAAACATTTCGCGCTTTAAACGACGACACGGCACCGCGGTGTGCCTTTGACAAACGTCGAATTTTCCGGCTCCATGTCAAACATTCAGTAACTTCGTACACCGTACTGCGTACGAAACGCGATTGCCCGATCGAGGAGCGGTAATAGCGGTAATTTAACGACGAGGACCGGTCGTCACGACTGAAAATTAATTAGCTCCAAACTTCCGAAGCGTATTAATTTCGATCAAGTGCCAGCCAATGTGCGGCTCGGATCACCTCGACCGTGTGTAATACGCGAATATATCTTGAATAACGCTGAGTCGAGGAGCCGGTGCGCGGTCGGCACGGTAACCGTAAAACTTTCGGCGGCCCTCTCGTCCGCAGGTGTGTATCTCGCGAAACTTTCGCGTCGCCTGTGCCGCGTGAATGGACGAAGTTCCGTGTCGGCCGACGAACTGGGTCAAGTCTCGAGAGAATCTTGAGTCTGGCTCCTCGAATATAAAAGTAACCGCCGCCTTACCCTGACTGCCATGAAGAAAGCCAATGAGAGTTGCACAGCCGAATGAAGAGATGAAGATATTTAGTATCGAGGATTAAGGGGTGGTTCCGAACGAAGCTTTTAGGATCACGGATGCGGAATAAAATTTTATTGCTCGGTCCTTGATTAGGTTAACCATCGATCGACGAATCGTTATCGTAAAAATTAAGGAGGATGCAATATTGGATTATTTACGACCTAAGTGTGTTGACGTTAATATCAAATATTTTTCAAACTTGGAAATTTTTTCACATTTTCGCTTTTTATTTCGCTCTGTGATTTAGCGCTAATATATAATATATTGCACTGACATAGTGCATACAAATTTATAAACATTGATGAAGCTACGTTCCCATTTCTGAGAAGCGAACTCTTCCACTTGGAAAACGAAATTTAAAAGTTTATTTAAAAGTTCGATATTGTGAGAATTGTTTTATTAACGTTATTACGAATGCTGTTAATTGTTGTGCGTTGCTTTTCTACATACCTAAATACGTATGTCACTTGCCACATTAATTCACACAACTTTTTTGGAAGTTTCTTTATAAGATTATAAAGAAGAGATCTGCAAGTAATGTTCTTTTTTAAACATGAGAATAAGAAGAATTTTTATCATCTTAAACAGTTTTCTAATATCCATTTCCACCAATGTGGATTAACTTTAATCTCGGTTCAACTTACTTTTTATCTGTTTCTAATTTTCAAAACTAGAAAAAGATAAAAAGTAAGTTAAACCGAGATCAAAGTTAATCTGCATTGATAGAAATGGACATAAGCCAAAGAGCAAAACAGAATATCTTCTATTCCGTTTGTCATATCGCAGATTTTCATTTATAGACGTGAAAACAATTTGTCGTGCTTCTCACGCAGTTACACGCAACCGTACAAGCGAATCCATGATTAACGCGATAAATTCGACCGCGTAATCGATTCGTAATCGCGCTACGAATCCTTAGTAGGGCGTATCATAATCGGGAGGGCGTACGTGTGTTACGCCAGTTTACGAAAGCTCAGCAGAATCCCGTGTTCATCCTATTTGATATCGGCCGCGGCGGCGTCCGTGCCGCGGAAGCTAATTAATGGCTCATCGACGAGCCGAACTTTATCCGTCAAAACGCCGCGGTTTAATTCGCGCTCGCGGACAATGCATCCGTATATACACGTACGAGATTTGCGATCGCGTCGCTATATGTTGCTGATTTTCTTTCCACTCCTTCCTCCCCGTGCATTTCGCCGCTGGTCGCGCGTGAAATACGATTTTAATTTTACGCGAGGTCTCGAAAATGCTCACTGTAAATACTAATTAAATGTTGCGAAATGTTTCCACCCGCGTGCAAATCGAATGCTGTTTAATGCGCTTCAACGTGCGCGATAAATTTTCCCGGTTTAATTTTTTCTTCTCCCGAGACAATGTGCATAACGTCGAAGAGTAATCGTTACGATTGCGAGAGTTTACGCAGATGACTGGCACGTTCCTTATCGTCGCTCGTTAAATGTCGCTCTCTCTAAAGTACGATCTTTGCACAATTTAACAAATGCAGTCACTTTGCCTCTCGTTCCATCGGCCGTCGATCGTTCAATAACCCTTTATGACGGCGTCGCTGAGATTATTATACGATATCTGTGTCGCGGGTATTCCAGCCCCTTTGAAGTATCATTACTTCTTCAGCTAGTTTTTACAATTTCGCTCGTGTCGTCCGTAGCTTCATTTCGCTACGTATTTACTTTATGCCGCTCGGCAAAAGGTGGATCGAGTTCCGGAGTATAATAAATATTGTCTATCTGTCCTCCTCCGTTTCCCATTAAAGGAGCAGAAAGGAGCGTGGAAGAAAAAGAGTCGCGCGCGACGTAACTATTTTCCTGCGTTTCGCTCGACGCGCAAATATCCCAGGGAGAAACGGCGTTTTAATATCACATTGCAGCATGAAAATTCACCGAGAACCGGACCGGCGGAGAGGGAGAACCCGGGAACAGACATGTCGGTCGGTGGAGCTGGAGAGCTGCAAAGGAATCGGCGAGAAAAAGAGAGGAAAATGAGAGAACGGCGAAGAATGGCGGAAGGGAGGAGGGGCAGGAACGAGAGAAACAAAAGTACGATCGCGTATTTACCGCACACCGCGTGCGTGCGTGCCGCGTGGGAAACCCAGCCGGCCATGCATCGTCCGTTGGAAAAAGCGCCGATGTACAAACACGATCGCACGCTAATTCTCGTATTTATCCGCGCGCGACGCCGATCATGCACGCGCGGTCATCGAAACGCAGCTCTCTGGCCGGACGGGGGTCAAAGGCGGGGATCGCGGCGCGGCGCAATGCGACGTGTGGGGATGATGCACCACGCCTATTATCCGGACATCGTGTTCCCGTGTACGGGGAACCGGCTTAAAGGACGTTAAATATGTATGACGGTATTGAATTATGTTGACCCCGCGAACTTGGCGCGTTGCATTATAGCAATCGGCTTGTCGCGCCGATATTTCCGTATACGGTAACTCCAACGAGTTCGTGCAAAGATCCCGGAGGCGGCTATGATCTCGAGGATGTAGGATGTAGGACTGTTATCCCCCGGGTACCACGGTTTACGTCGTTACGCGAACACTCGGCCCGAGAGATCGATCGCGCGGCGGAAACCACGTATAAAAGCGATGCGGTCCGCGATTTTTGAAATAAACGACGGATTTCGGATTTTCGCGAATTTATGAGACGGTGATGCGCGCCGCGCCGCGTTTTCCCCGATATCGGATGATAAAATACGCGGGCGCTCGTGCAAGTATCGGACCGCGGGATCAAATAACATTTGTTATATTAAACGCCACGGATAAACAGGTGTAATTATTCGGGCCGGTCTGGTCGAATGCCGAATAATTATCAAATGCGTACCGGCGGCAGAAGTAGGTATTAAGCGTTCTCGACCCGAACTAAATTACCGCGGCGGGGTGTGTAATAACGTATGCATGCGTGGACGCTGCGAATCGATTCACCGGCCTGCCCCGAGGACGGCGCGAATGGATGAATTAAAAAAAAGAAAGAGAGAGTGGGAGAGAGAGTTTCTATTTCTGAGAGACAAATCGGGATGTGATGTCGTCGCTGCGCGCCGCAACGACCCCGAGCCAGCTGTCTGCGTGTGATAATTAACTATCGATCGTGCCGCTTCTCCATTAGCCGCTACATTTTCGATGGCCTAATTATTCCCTTGTTCGTTCTCTCACGTTGGACGAAACGCCGCGATCGACGCGCGCTTAAAAACGGGGAGAATAATCACTGACGCAAAAAGTTCCAAGTTCGCTTGAT